CACGTTTATGTTTTGATCATCTATGATTGCACCCAAAGACATTTCACATTGAGTGGGGTGAATAAGGCTGCACTTGGATATACAAGAATATTCCTTGTGATTGAAGATCTCTTTTCACATTCAATGACTGTTCACTATGCTTTTCTCTACCTGAATTGATCATTTATATGTTTTTTTATGTCTGTTGAATTACATATTTGGTGTTATTATTTATGCTGTTAAGCTGTGCACTTTTTTTTTTTACACGTATATAAATCCACTTGCCGACCTCAACACTTATATATATACAGTGGGGATCGAAAGTTTGGGCACCCCAGCTAAAAATTTGTATTAATGTGCATAAAGAAGCCAAGGAAAGATGGAAAAATCTCCAAAAGGCATCCAATTACAGATTAGACATTCTTATAATATGTCAACAAAGTTAGATTTTATTTCCATCATTTACACTTTCAAAATAACAAAACAAAAAAATGGTGTCTGCAAAAGTTTGGGCACCCTGCAGAATTTATAGCATGCACTGCCCCCTTTGCAAAGCTGAGACCTGCCAGTGTCATGGATTGTTCTCAATCATCGTCTGGGAAGACCAGGTGATGTCAATCTCAAAGGTTTTAAATGCCCAGACTCATCTGACCTTGCCCCAACAATCAGCACCATGGGTTCTTCTAAGCAGTTGTCTAGAAAACTGAAACTGAAAATAGTTGTCACTCACAAAGCTGGAGAAGGCTATAAGAAGATAGCAAAGCGTTTTCAGATGTCAATATCCTCTGTTCGGAATGTAATTAAGAAATGGCATTCATCAGGAACAGTGGAAGTTAAAGCAAGATCTGGAAGACCAAGAAAAATATCAGACAGAACAGCTTGCAGGATTGTGAGAAAAACAATTCAAAACCCACGTTTGACTGCACGATCCCTCCAGAAAGATCTGGCAGACACTGGAGTTGTGGTACACTATTCCACTATAAAGAGATACTTGTACAAATATGGTCTTCATGGAAGAGTCATCAGAAGAAAACCTCTTCTACGTCCTCACCACAAAAATCATCGTTTGAACTTTGCAAATGAACATATAGACAAGCCTGATGCATTTTGGAAACAAGTTCTGTGGACCGATGAGGTTGAAATTGAACTTTTTGGCCAGAATGAGCAAAGGTACGTTTGGAGAAGAAGGGGCACAGAATTTAATGAAAAGAACCTCTGTCCAACTGCTAAGCATGGGGTTGGATCAATCATGCTTTGGGGTTGTGTTGCAGCCAGTGGCACAGGGAACATCTCACGAGTAGAAGGAAAAATGGATTCAATAAAATTTCAGCAAATTTTGGATGATAACTTGATGCCATCTGTGAAAAAGCTGAAGTTAAAGAGAGGATGGCTTCTACAAATGTATAATGATCCTAAACACACCTCGAAATCCACGGGGGATTACATCAAGAGGCGTAAAACTGAAGGTTTTGCCATGGCCTTCACAATCTCCTGACCTCAACATGATTGAAAATCTACGGATAGACCTTAAAAGAGCAGTGAGTGACAGACAGCCCAAAAATCTCAAAGAATGGAAGACTTTTGTAAGGAAGAATGGGCAAAGATACCTCAAACAAGAATTGAAAGACTCTTGGCTGGCTACAAAAGCGTTTACAAGCTGTAATACTTGCCAAAGGGGGCAGTACAAGATATTAACTCTGCAGGGTGCCCAAACTTTTGCAGACGCCATTTTTTTGTTTTCTGTTATTTTAAAAGGTAAATGATGGAAATAAAAATCTAACTTTTGTTGACATATTATAAGAATGTCTAATCTATAATTTGATGCCTTTTGGAGATTTTTCTATCTTTCCTTGGCTTCTTTATGCACATTAATACAAATTTTTAGCTGGGGTGCCCAAACTTTCGATCCCCACTGTATATGTTGCCTGCGGTTTGCAAGTGGTTTACCAGGGTTCTGATGAAAGCGGTCTGAGTGGCTCATTGGCCACTGAATCACTTTCAGTAGTGGCAGCAGGGGATGTTACCATTAAAACCGGCGCACCCGAGAAATGATCAGACAGAGTGGCTGGCTGGTCACAGAGGCAATCAGAGACTCTATCGTATCCGATCACCTCTATGGTCATGATGTCACTTCTGGTCTAGGGCAGATGTAAACATTTTTTTAATTTTTTTTTTTTTTTTTTTTTAAACACTTGCCTTCTGCCCTAAAGCAGATTTACTGCTACAGGGCGAACGTTCTGTGCAAAATCACGTATATATAAATGTGGTTTTTGCACTTCTGCCACTGGGAGACATGCTACTGCCATGATTGCACACAGCAGAAGCCGATCAACAGGTGCCGCCAGTGGATGAGCGCCGGCACCTGTTGATCGCCAAGGAAACTGACATAACACAGCTCTGCCTATGTAAACAAGGCAGAGCTGTGTTAGTCCTGAATAAAATCTAGCAGATTGCCTAGTAAAAAAAAACAGTAAACAGTACACACAAGCACTGGCTAGGAACACAGGTAACCCTTTGATGGCCCACAATGTTTAAACCCATCCCAGCTAGTGTCATTAATACAGTGAGAGTGTATATTTTTAGGACTGACCACTGTCACTGGTTCCCGCAAAGTGTCACCTAATGTCAGACCATCTGCCGCAATATTGCAGTCCCCGCTATAAGTCGCTGATTGCCGCCATTACTAGTACAAGAAAAAAAAAATCCAGTGTATATATACTGCCATTTGTAGACCCTAGAACTTTTGTGCAAAGCAATCAATATATGCTTATTGGGATTTTTATTTTTATCAAAAATATGTAGCAGAATACATTTTGACCTAAATTTATGAAATTTGATTTTTAAAATTGTTTATTGGATATGTTTTATAGCAGTAAGTAAAATATATTGGTTTTTTTTCTTTTAAAAAAAAAAAAAAAAAATCAGTTTTTTTTTTTTTTTTTCATTTATAGCGCAAAAACCCAGAGGTGATCAAATACTACTAAAAGAAAGCTCTATTTGTGTGGAAAAAAATGATATAAATGTATGTACAGCATTGTATGGCTGTGCAATTGTCAGTTAAATTAAAAACAAAAATAAATGCAGCGACGTATCGTGAAAAATGGCCTGGTCATGAAGGGAAAATCTTCTAGAGGTCAAGTGGTTAAAGCAAAGGATCAAGGAAAAAAGTTTTTTTGGTTTTAAAAGTAATGGAGAGATTTGGGGTCTTTTTGACCAGATCTCTCCTTAAAGAGGGCCTGTCATCCTTCTTTCTAAAGAAATAATTGTAATAAAAAGGGGACAGTGTAACTATAAAATAAGAAACAAATACATTTATAGTGCCCCCTGCTCAAGTGAACGCATACGCAAGTCGCACATGCATATGTAAATGGTGTTCGCAGCATACATGCGAGGTATCGCCGCAGACATAATTCTAGTGTTAGACCTCCTCTGCAACTCTAAACAGGCAACCTGTAAAAATGTTTAAAGAGTCGCCTATGGAGATTTTTAAGTGCCATAGTTTGTTGCCATTCCACGAGCGTGCTCAATTTTACATTTTGACATGTTCGGTATCTGTTTACGTACCGTAACACCCTCATTCATAATTTTCCTAAAAATTGGGGTATATATTGTGTTTTGTTTATTTTCCTGAATCAACATTTTTTGTGGGACACTATACTGCAAATTACTCCCACAAATGCGGGCTATTGATTGCAAACAAGTTTTGTTAATTTGCACACACAAAACAGTATTTTTCATAAATTTATTCATGGACCATGTTGCAAAAATGAATACACACCCCAATGAAACTTTAAGGAGCAAAGCTAAATTTTAGACAAAATTCTAATTAACGAGAATGCAAACTACAGGTGAGTCGATTTATTCATCAAACAGGTGTCCAGCAGACAACTTATAATAAAAGGGCATTGCATAACAAAGAAAACCCCTTCCCATTTCATACTGTCAGCAATGGCACCACATGGAAGAGAAAAGTCCTGAGGAAAATAATTTGTTTACAAAATGAAGGGTGTGGAAGGCTACAAGAAGATACAGCAATGCTTTACTTATCAGGTCTCAGAATTACTGTAGCAAAAGTGATACAAAAAAAAATGTAAGCAAAGATGGGAACTGACAAACCATGTCACAGAGATGGTCCAGGCGTGTCCATGGAAGTTAACACCTTGACGGAAGTTAACAACGTCTTCTGATGAAAACCGTGGTGGAAGAAATCGCTCAGGCCGTGCAAGTTTTCACTGCAGTAAGCTAAAGAAATAGAAAGCCAAACTTGGGTGATTTGTTTTTCACGTGACACAATTTTGGCGTAACCTGCAGAGGAATGGGG